TCTATTGGGATGAGACGGAGGGCTCTCAGCCCTGTCCCTTCCATTCAAGCCTGTACCAGCCATCAAGAGCAGCTGTACAGAGATCACCTTCAGTCCTTAGGGCAGGGAGGGAGGTTACTGAGAGTCTTCCAGAAGGGATTAAGCAAAAGGGAGAGTTTTTGTTTTGCTAAATTTTAGTTACATTGATTTCCACATTACATGTTGATTATATTCCATAATTCTAACTAGATAAGGGAGACTCTAACTTCCTCCAATTAAGGCTGCATTTTCTCGTATACCCTATGACTTTGAAGTTATGTGATTACAAAGTTTTAAAAAGTTAACCTATTGTTTCATTTGGAGCATTATTTCTGAAACCTGTCTGACATTCTGCTGGGTCAGACAATGAGAATGTGCTGGCTAGACAGAGACATTCTCAGACCCCACCCATGGAGTTTTGACTTTATAGGCCAGGAATGGGTCCTGGCAATCTGTATTTTTTAAACAAAGTATCTAGATGGTTCTTAAGGCAGGTTTTAGAAACACCAGTGTAGAGAAACATTGATTTAGAAACCCCTCTACTGAGCCTGTGGTACTGATGGTGTCTGAGGGGTGCTTTCACTGTTCCTTTCGTGGCCTCTTGGGTACTTGGTTCGGAAGGCTGGCTTCCATCCCATTGGCTCCACTTCCGTTTTTATCTTGACATATGCCTTCATTCTTACAGAGAGGCTCTTATCTTGGATGGGACCAAATCAGAGAGTCCTTTGTCAACAGAGTAAGAAGTCAGTTCTGATGCTGTTGTTTTTAGGAAGATTTTGCAGACACTGATTATGAAGTGCTTTTAGGCATTTTTTGAAATATTGGGCTATAAGTTTTGGGCCTCTGCAGCGGTCTTAAGGATGTCTTGAGTCCATTTTTTCCCACTCCCTCTCCTACTTTGGTTCAGACACTGACGATAATGCATGTCCCCTTCATAAGTAAATGCTGACCAGAAAGGGACGAGGGGCCCCTCACTCTCTACAGGCAGTTTGGTTCTGATTCAGGTGAATATACAGATTGAGGAGTTGGACTTTCCACATTATCATATCAACATTGACCTCCATTTCTACAAATGCAGGATTCATCTCGGCCCTATTGCAGGGACAGAGTCAGCTTATGAAACAGATGAGGTGGGAAATGATTAGTGTGATGGCATTGGAGGGCTCTAGAAAGTGCTCCTTACCCAAAAGATGGACTTCACTGACTTTTGTCCCTAAAATTCTGCCATTAGGGGAATTTGAGTGACACGTTTCTCTTTAAATTTCTTACTCAACATGTAAGCATCCATAGAATAGGCAATACATTCGTTATTTATTCCTTAACAGGAATAATTTTGTTAAATGCTTCTCAAGATCAGCTAGCTAAGAATGTGACTTTGTGAGGTGAAGTAAGGGCACCGTAGGTGAGTAGGGCTGGGTGCAGGGCCACATAGGGCCACTGGTGGCATCTGGTATCTAGGGCAGCTCATGAGGAGCCCAGGATACCGGGGAGGGCACTAGGCAAAACTGATTCTTGTTCACTTGGTGTGTGCATGTGTGTGTTGTGTGTGTAATAGGGACTTTAATATCCTTGATGATGCATCTTTCATAATTCTGCCTAATATGGCTATTCCACATATACTTGACTAGTTGTAATGAAAAGCCAGGTGATCTACATATGATAGTAAGGTTAAACAACATAATCGTACTTAGGATTATTTTGCTCTTTTTTAAATTTAATTTTGAGAGAGCTCAGATAATGATCCAGTTTCTGTACCCTCTTAACAGGTCAACTTGGCCAGCAGCGGAAACCTTCCCTCGTCCACCGAGGGGCTTTTCCTAGTCAGCTTTGAGGAGAAGGGCTTGACTTCCAAGACCCCATGCCACTTAGAAAGTATGCTATAGTGCATGCTTCTCTCTCATATCTATAAAAAATATTCACATTTTCCAGGAGTTCTCAGCTCCCGGCTGGCAAAATGAACTTGGACACTGTACTGCCAAAGCCAGTGGTTGTTTGAGTGGTACTGTGTGTTTTCAGAACAGCATGGAGATGGGCAGGGAACTTCTTTATGCCTCTGCTGCCTGACTATGCCCGAACCAACAGAGACATTATACGTGAGTACATCCCAGGGACCAGAACGCTTGGAACTTTTACCGAGAAGACTGACCCATTCTCCCGCTCACAGCCTTTTCTTGTTTCCACTTTCCCTAGAGTCCCTGTTTTGCCCTTAGATTGGGCTCGGTGCCCCACATTCTAAGATTCACAAGATGTTCTTCCATGCTTCTGGATACAGTCTCAAACACACAAAAAATGAATCTATTCTTATCACAAATGTTTTTGTCTTCAAGGGATAATAACCATTGAGTATAGGTACCCAGGAAAGTTGTGACTACAGCCTCAGAGTGTCAGAAAGCATTGAGAACCACTTATACTGCCTCTTCAGGTGTGACCATTAGCTCTGTGGCTATAGGCCACACTGTACCTGTTTTGTGCTAGAGAATGTGAGGGGTTGGCATCCAGGCCTGAAATTCTTATTCCAGATGAGCCTGTACGTCTGTGCATTCAGTTATTTATTCAACGCATGCTTATTAGGCACCTCAGGGAGCTTACAGTCAGTCTGGTTGGGGAGATGGTAGAACAGCCATTATCTTCAATGTGGTTAGCAAGGTGTGGAGTGCAGGACAAATAGGCCATGTGGGATGTGTGAAAGGCCCTTAGAGGGGTGGACACAGCACACAGGGGCAAGTGAGAAGGTTGGAAAACTGGAGTGTGCAGTACATATGCAATGCATAGCCATGCAGGAAAGGTAGTAGGGATTTCTGATGCATAGCTTGTGTGCTGGGAGGGTGGGGTCTCACTGCCCCTGGACAGCACACGGTTCTGTGACCTATTAGAGGTCTTGCAGCTAAGCCACCCTCAATGTGGCATGGGCAAGAGGGGCACACCTTGGAAGCTGAGTGTGGTTGGGATATTCAATGTATCACCATCATCTGTTGATCTGAACACTTTTTGTTTTGAACCCCTTTTACCCCCCTTTTTTTTTTAAAAAAGCAAGAACTATGTAAATGTAAGCAAGTATGTGAGAATTTGCCTGCTCTTTACAGAAATATGCTTTTTCAGGGGGAGAGGGAAGGATTATTTTACCTTTCTTTTAGAGAGAAGATAGATATTTAAAGAAAGAGGCAACTGACCTGAGCTTTTCTCAGTCCTGAATCACTTTATGGCTCCCGGGTGTCGGGCGTCGTTATCTCTGTAACCACAGAGTTTGTTCCACACTCTAGAAGGAAACTTGACCCTCTGATAAAACATGCAGAGCTTTCCGGATGGTCTCACTGTTTCTTTTCTGGAGTGGTCAGATTCTGTGTCTAGGTGGGAGGAGAAACTGTCTAAAAGGAGAAGCGTGTGTCCACTTTCCTGAAGCCGGAGCTTCCTTTGCCTGTCCTGAAACAAATGAGGGTTGCAGAGGAGGACATGGTGTGTCTTGGGGGAATGAAATCCTCCCGCAGCACCACATCCCTACCTGGAGGTGGGCCGGTACGCTCCACCCCAGGGTCCGCAGGGCTAGGAACAGTTCCAAGCATTCATAAAACCCCTTTGTGTATTTCCTTTTAAACAGAAATAGACATCGCAGGCCCTATAGTATGTGAGGCCCTGATCTGTTCGGTTATCAGGCTGGGCCAGCTCTGCACTCTGCACTCTGCCACCCCCAGCTGCCCCCCAGTACTGGCACTGACCCCATTTAGTGCTACTGCCTTTAGGGAGCATTGGAATCACCTAGAGGGCTTGTTAAAGCACATTGCTGGACCCACTTCCAGAGATTTTGAGTCACTAGTTTCAGGATGGGCCAAGAATTTGCATTTCCAACACATTCCCAGGTGATGTTGATGCTGCTATGGACTGGAGACCACACTTGGAGGACCACTGTGATACCCAGGCACTCCTCCACCTTCTGGATGGTGTGTTGGGAGAGGCAGACTCTGCTTCTGATGGGATGTCTGCATGGGGGGAATCGCCTGATGGTGGAGGAACCTGTAGTTCAGAAGCAGTGGCTTGCTGGAGTGCCAGAGGAGCCCTAGCTCTGTCTTCTTACCGTAGGGTCTTCTCTCTTGGTCCTCTCCACAGAAACCAGGGATGTGGCCTTTAGGGTAGCTGAGATGGCTTTCATTGCTTCCTTCCAATCCCTTCTTCTCTCTGGTGTTGCAGAAATCTTTCTGAACTATGCCGCTCTCTTACCTAAGACCCTTCGCGGGCTTGCTGTTGGCCTTAAGATAAAATTCAGAGCCTCCTAAAATGGCTGCAAGGCCTTTTTTTGATTGCCCACCTCTGCAGCTTTGTCAATTGCCAGTCTCCCTATTGGCCTCTGAAATATTCCGTTCATTCGTGAACTCGCTATGCTCTTCTTGCTTCCAGGGTATCCCATTTTGCTGTTACCTCTGCCTGGCATGATGTTTGCTTGCACTCGTAGTCTGACCAACTCTGGTTTGTCGGACCCCAGCTTAGCCATCATGTACTTTGGGGAGCTTCCTTTAACTTTTCTGATATCAGCTGGTGCCTCTGAGGGGTCTCTCTGTCACCTTGTATTTTCCTCATTTCAGCTTCTATCAGCTGCATCAAGGTCACGATTACCACCTGTTTACTTCTCTGTCTCTGTCGACTGTCAGCTCCCTGAGAGCAGGGATCCTGTCACAGTCATGCAACTCAGGTTTCACACAGTTTCTGGTGTATAGAAGGCCTTCTTACTCATTCTGTAAGGTAGCTATTGCAGGGTAGGAAACTGAGGCACAGGTAGGTTAAGGACCTGGCTTACAGTACCCTGCTGCTGAGTTATAACACTTGGATTCTCACCCAGGTCTCTTTGATGCAAGCCGCTGGCCATGTGATGCTGGCCAGGTTTTCTGCTCTGAGACCAAGAAGCCTGAGGCATGGTCTGCAGGTCTCCTGGGACTGTCAAAAGACTGGATATTCCAAGTTAATAAAAATGGCCCTTTCCTATTGTTTTTCAGGTAAATTGGGAAGCAGACTCTTGAGTTCACAGCTGGCCTGTGGTTTTGCATCTCGTTAAGGAGCTCTTCATACAGGTAAGGGGTTGTTTTCTGGACTGCTCATGCTCAGGTAGGCTGTGGGAAAACTCAAGCCGTGATGATGCCCGCTGATAACCACCTAAAGTTCTCATTCATTAAAAAGATCCTTAAATTTTTCTTCTTTAAGAAAGGTGTAAAATGGTCCCTGCCCCTGAGGAGAGTTATCGGGTGAAGATGTTTACCTGGCTGGCTTTCTCCTGGGCATTGCCACCTTCTCATCACCCAACACTTTACCTTTTTGCTGGGCAGCCTTCTCCCTTCCATTTGAGTTGCCGATTTAGAATTTTTTTCCTCATGTAAGACCCAGCCCAAATTTCACTTATCAAACTGTCTGAGTGAGAGGCTATTCAGAGTATGGCCTTTCCCCAGCTTCCCAGCGGAACGAATCACAGCTTCTCTGCTCACACAGCGCACTGCACTTTCCATGGTAAGCTTGGCTTAATTGTTTGCGCACGTATTTTTCTTCTAATCTGTGAATTCTTTTTGCTGCCATCTTCTACCTAGCCTAGTTGCTGGCTTCAATAAATGAATGAATGTTAGTGTTAGAAAAAAAAAAATGCCCTAATAAACTAAAATATGGCAGACAAAAAAATCTTTTCCTAAACCAGTGAAATGATTTGTAGAATGCCTTTTTGGATTAATTGCATGGCTGTTTGCTCACATTATCATGTGTAATTGAGAATTTACCATCATATATTAAGTCAGTAGGAGTTCAGATTCTTACCCTTATTGAAAAGGCTAAGTCAGGAGTTTATGTGTTATTGTCTTCCTCTTGAGCAGTAAGTGATGCTAGGTCATGGAGCAGTAATGTATTAATGACAACCTGCAGCCAAGAGCAGCCAGCCTCTTGGATTGAGCATATATCTAAATGTCTAGGCAGTAAGAGAGCAAGCAATAGACTTTCTCAATTAACAACTCAGAGGAATAAAAATATTTAAACAATTTAGGTTTAAATAATTTTAATAAAAATTACATCAGTGCATTTCAGTTTCCCCATACTTCTTTTTTTTAGCATTTTAATTTTATTTATTATTAGTTTCAAGTATATAGTACATTGGTTAGACATTTATATAGTTTATGAAAACAATCCCTTCGATTACTCTATCTTCCCTCTGGCTCTCTACATAGCCATCCCATTACTGTTGACTACATTCCCTATGCCGTGCTCCCCATCCCCCATCCTCATGACCATCTATCAACTACTAATTTGTACTTCTTTAACCCCTCATCGCTTTCTCCCAGCTCCCTAACTCCCCTTCCCTCTGGCTGTCACCAGATTGTCCTCTATATTTGCGAGTCTGTTTTCGGTTAGTTCTTTTTATTCCTTAGATTCTGCATATAAGTGAAATCATATGGTATTTATCTTTCTCTGTCTGACTTATTTCACTCAGTACAATCTCTAGGTCCATCTATGTCATTGCAAATGGTAGGATTTCTTTTTTTTTTTTTAAAGGCTGAGTAATATTCCATTGTATATATGAACCATAACTTCTTTATCCAATCGTCTGTTGATGGGCATTTAGGATGCTTCCATATCTTGGCTACTGTGAATAGTGCTGCCATGAACATAGGGGTGCATAGATCTTTATGAATTATTGTTTTAGTTTTCTTTGGATAAATACCCAGAAGTGCCTGAATAGATATTTCTCCAAAGAGGAAATTGTGATGATCAATAGACATAAGAAAAAATGCTCAAAGCCACTAAACCTCAGAGAAATGCAAATTAAAACCACGATGAGATATAACCTCACACTATCAGAATGGCTATCATCAATAAATCAAAAAACAACAAGTGTTGGTGAGGATGTGGGAAAAAGGGACTCTCTATACTTCTTAGTACACTGGGTTCTGTGAGAGGCATACTGATTAGCTCACTGCCATTTTGTGGGTTGGAAATAGCAACCAGGGTGGTTTTCACCTGAACATTGAAGCCAGAATGGGGCCTGGGTCCTTTCAGGAACTGGTGGTGGCTGAGTTCATGGAAGCCGCGTGGGGTGTGGGGTACTTAAATTGAACTATAGACCACTTTCGCATAGGAGAAAGTGGCCTAGGATTTTTGCTCTTGCTTTCTTATCCTGCTTCTACATTAACACTGCTCATTGTTCAACCTTTCCAGTTGCTTTGTTTGGGTGTGTGTAGCACTAAAGCAAAGAGGATGAAGTTGTCTTCTGGTGTCTGCATGTGCTTTCTACAGCCTAGTAGTGGTACCAACCAACAGGTGCCACTTAGAAGCAGTCACATTATCATGATTTCTTCTACCTGGTGCTGAGCCCCAGTCATATACCTGCCTGAAGGAGAGTTTAGTGAAAGCAGTACAAGAAATTTGACTCTTAGCTAACCCTATTCATGTTCGTAAAGTTTCTTAGGGCTTGGGTAGAGTGAAGACTTCAGTTTTGCCCAGGAATTTCCAGTCTCCATGGAATCCCGTTTGTCTATCATACTTGAAAAATAAACTAAGAAAATAAATGACAGTTTGAAAGCTCAGGTGTTAAAATGTGAGTGGATTTTAGCTTTTCAGTAGGTTTTGGAACATGAGGTATTACCAAATATCGTGTGTTGCACCATCTGTGCTGAAGCTGAATGCAGTGTGGTGGTGTGTGTCTGATCTTCACACTACTGAACACAAGGGGTGTGCTTACCAATTCATAATTAGCAACTTGCTGAGCTTGCAGGAGCGATCTGATTCTCAGTGTGCCTCTTGTTTTAGCATACAGTTGTAATCAGATTAGAAAAAACTGAGATAAGTCAAGCCATCAAGATACCGAGGTGGTGCCCCTCCACGCCGGCTCTCACACACAAGTGTGCACTCAGGCACATGTCACAGAGCTCCCTAGTTGAGTCTTGACTACCCCACATCACCCTAATTAGAAAGTCCAAGAAGTGATACAATGCCTGAATTTCCTGAGAGCTTCTGAACTGTATTTTGGACTTCTGATATGGTGCTCTTCTTTCATTCAATGCAAAGTTTACTGTTTCTAAAGATGGGTCTGCTAGCGCCTCAGCAGTAGAGCTTGTATATCAGGACGTGTGTGTGTGTGTGTGTGTGTGTGTGTTTGTGTAATATAGCTGTTTTGGAGCTTTGGCTTTGATTCAAAGACACTGTCCAGCATGAGTCCCTTGTGTCCAGGGTAGACATTTGAGAGCAATCAGAGCAAAGGCAACTAGCGGACATAGCAAACTAGTCTGCTGGTCTCAGACTCCAGTGTCATTAACATACTGGTCTCCAACTGGCGATTTCCATTATTGCTGAAATGCCTGAGAACCTAGACTGCAGCTGGTGACAGAGACACGCAAGTAAAGGGCACATCTCCTCTCAGGTGTCTTTGTTGTTATTGTTGTTGTTGTTGTTGTTTTTCCAGATAAAACCTTTATCTTCTTAAAGAAGAAGCAAATTCTCCAAAATAAGCTTTCAAGTTTCATTGTAAAGCTGCACCCAGGTATTGGCATCTCTGGAAAGACTGTGCTTTTATTCATTTCCAGAGCACAGTCAGTGCATAATTTAGGAACCACTTTTTACTTTGATCAGGTCGCTTGTCAGCTGTGATTTGCTGACTGGTTTGTCTTATCCACTACAGGGGTTTTGTTGTTGATTTAAAGAAAACTTATAAGTTCTTGTTTCCAGGAAAAGCTGGTTTTAAATGTAATATCTTAAACTTTTGCATTAAGAAAGGACTGAAGGTATTGTTTTGATCACTCTCATGTCCTTTTTCTGTTAAGAAATGACTATTCCTGTTTCTTAGCATCTTTTTCCGATTATGGACCGGAGTTGGAAGGACTCAGCCTTTGCATGGCTAGTTAATAAAAGAAACTTTTCCAAATAAGCAAAAGAGGGTGAAAAAATTTCCTCTTCCCTTTCTTTTAATAATAAAGTAAATACCTAGCATTTTAAATGATTCCTTTTTTCTCTAGAGCATTTCTTACATGGAGCTATCTCTGAGGCTTCCAGAATTCTGTTCTCTCAGGTTCCTTTTTCAAAGCTAGAGGAGGCCTTGGCTGGCTCCGTCTATACAGACCCCATTGATGCTTATCTTTCCTTCCCTTTATTTCCCAATGGGCAAGCAGGAGTGCTCACCTCGCCTGCTCTTTATCTGTCTGCCTGGGATTGCTGCAGAGAAGTCCTGCTACCCTTTATGGCTACAATCTGAAAAAGAAAACAAACAGCCGAAGCTCCCATTGCAGCCCAGCAGGCTGAAGTAAATAGTTCTCATTCTCCTTGTTCCTAGGTTCAAAGTGCTCTTAACGTTTCATGGGGGCGACTAGCCCTCCCAAGGTGCTGGTTTGTGTGGGCCTGGTTTTAGTCTGGTAGACAATTAACAAGTGACCTCTTCCTTTTGCCTTCGCCTTTCTGGCTGAGATGACATTCATGCTCCGAGTGAGAAGGAGCTGCTGCTCCCTTGAGCAGAGCACCAGGCAGGGGCGGAGAAACATTTGATCTTGTTCAAAGGGGATGTCTCTGAAGCATGAAGATTGAACTGATTGTGACCCCACCCTGGGGAAGGAGAAGCGCCCTCTGGGGAACTGGCCAGGAGGAAGAAGCCTGCAATTACTAATCCGGTTGGCCTGTGGGTCTTCGGGGTCTCATATCCGTTTAAAAGAGAGAATTAGGGTTGAAGGTAATAAAATAGGCCTTAAATTAGAGGAGCAGGGGGCCATTTCATCTAATTTTGTGGTTGTTACTGAGGAATAAAAGGCAAAGGAGATAATTTCATTAGCTCCTTTGAGATCTTTATCACAGTAAGATGGCATTTGGGGACGCAGCTGCCTAAGAGAGGCTGGCCATTTTTCCCTCCCGGTAAACCTAGAGTGAGATTTCTGTAGCAGCAGGAAGGGCTTGAGGAGGCACAGGAATCACTGAGGGCACTGTTGTCAGACACATGGAGTTTCTCCTGCCCTACGTGAGAGTTAGCAGCTTAAAATGGTTAATATAAGTCCTGACATACCACTCTTCCAGCTACTCAGGAACATGCATTCACACTGAAAATAAATCTGCGAGACAA